GTAGCTACAATTTTGTTTTGAGCTGCGGTAATCTTTTTTCAATAGAATTTGTAGATTACTTAAAATATACTCGGTAACACTTTCATGGCTATGTCCTACATTTTCCTACTAATGTTTTTATTATGCTTAAATGAATTTTCTTATTTTACAGTGTAACATCTGTAGAAGCCGTTTCTACAGGTTAGGTAGTTGTGAACTCTGTCATACCTGAATCGTAGTATGTTGCCTTTAAAAAGCACACTTGCCGTCATAACTTAGTCAAATAAATGCGACACATTGCAGTAGCTGCAACGAGTCTGGTAGCGGTAGACAGGAGGGAATGTACTAAAAGGCTAACAGTGACCAGCTGTATCTGGAGCTAGGATTATAGGAGAACTGAAGTTGCAACTTTTGCAGATTTTTTTTTTTGAAAGAATAAAACTGAAGGAGATAACACTGTTTAAGGAATAGGTGCTCAAGGAAGACAGTAACACTTAGCCACTAATTGCTCTTAAAGTAAACTTGTCAGTTAGAGAGTCTATTTTAGGTTGGTGAAACTGAAAATCATAAACTTGAGTCTTCACCCAGAACAAAATATAAACATAGCACATGAGTACTACCTTCTGCAGTTAGTGAGTGTGGTTAATTTTACTTTTCAACTGGCATTTGCAAAAGTATGCAATTTTTCATTTGCTCTTCAAGGAGCAAGCATCTCTTACAATGTCCATATTTTAACATATTTTAACTTTTTGTATTGTTGCATGTGGCTTTGGTTTATAAGTGCTATCTCCATGTCAAACAGGTATTGGGTATTAGTGTGTCGTTTTTCCCCCTTTTGTAAGGGTTGGAGTTGGTCTTTTGGTGGTTCTCGCTTCAGGTTAGTTTTTGATTATGAGTTGACTGGATTTTGGTGAATGTTACGGTACTAAAGGCTTTCTGAAGAAGGAGGAAGGTTGTGGTGTACCAGGCCTTGTAACTCTTCTCCAAGGCTCCACAAGTCCTGTCGCCTCCAGGGAGGAGAAAGTTTCCTCTCCACCTATTACACTGCTGAACCTTGGTCTTTGGGATGTGAATCTTTGTAGAGGCACAGTTGTTATGGTACTTTTGGGATCAAAACTCCAATTTCAAGTCTAGGTGTGGTATTTTTTTTACTCTTTACTTGTTTTTGAAGTAACTACTTTGACAAATGATTTTTTTATTTCCCACAGAGTTTTTAGGTAACTTATCTGCTGCTTTCCTGGTTTGAACTTTGTACTCTTAAAAAGGCCTTCTCTCTCTTGAGTAATTATGTTGGCTAAGATAATCCTTAGATGTTTTTTATTAGAGTTTATTCTTTTAACCTCCCTATTTAGAGTTATTTTTCTAACCTTTTCTTTGTATACTTAATGACCAGGGCAACAGAAGAGAGATTAGCTGCCATGACAAGGAACAGAAAAATCCTCTCTTTTTACCAGATTTGTTCTGTTTTTATGGCTTTCTTCAATTTAGAACACAATTCCTTTTCTTAAAGGAGAACTTCCATATTAGGCCACTTTTGAAACAAAGATCTTTTAAACAAAAGAAAGAAGTTTGATGTCATATATCTCTTCATTAGTAAATACATTCATTCTTTGAAATGTGACTGCCTCTTTCTAGCTATGCACACTGTAACTTTAGGGTTGTGACCTCAACAAGGTTCTCTAACACTGGATGGAAGTCATTGTGGTTATTCTCACAGGATCTGGGAGCAATATGGGTAGGATTGAACAGCAGAAGAGGGGCTCTTTTTTTTTTTTTTTTCCTTGAAGAAATTCTCATAAATGCATAAACTCTCCCCCTGAGGAGTAACTGCATACTGTTTAGAAATGCAGACTGCTTACAAAGTGTGTGTGTTGACAGTCCCTTTTTAAAAAAGGGACTTAGTCAAATACTCTAAACAGTCTCTTAGTATAAATCAGATCTTTTCCACTGTTGCCATCTTCTCCCGGGAAATCTTGTGCTTTGAACTTGGATTTATTTTCTGTATTTGTGATGAAATTTGAAATCAGGCTTTTTATTTTTTATCTCAATTTGTTAGCATAGCTGGTTGTGTTCCAGCAGTGTGTTGAGAACCTGGATTCATACGTTAACTCTTGCTCCCTCTGCGGGCTCCATAGCAGAACGACATGAAATGCTGCAAGTTTTCCATAAACTGTTGTTTGCATTGCTTATCTGGGTGTTAAAGTAACCTGTGTCTGTCCCATTTTTTAAATCAGAACGCTTTCTTATAGTACCTTTATAGTGCTTTGGCATGAGATGTAACACCTTGAAGCTTTTCTGCTTACCAGTTGGCATCTTCCTTCTCTTTATTCCTAACCCTCTATGTAATATTGTTAACAGCCATTCACATTTTCCTTGACAGCACCTGTAACTGGTCAAATGTCCTTAAGTAAAGTATTTTACAACGGTTGCTGACAACTAGCAGTACAGATAGAAGCAAGTTTGTTTCTTACGAATAAAACTGATCTGAGGTATGAGTTTTAGCTGAGGAGATCCAAAGTATGCTGAAACCTTTACATACAGCATATATTCCATTCTGCTCCTCTTCAGAAGTGTGATCAGCCTACAATGTTTGTTTTTAAAACAAATGTCCATGCCTGACATTTGGAATCTCCAAGGGCAGTGCATCATCAATTGCTAGAAGTGTGAAGAGTGTTAACGTGTACATTAACCCCCATATGAAGGGAGATGGTCTTTACAGGGAGGGACCAATAATACATTTTTTGCTGGCTTTTTAGTACATTTTTCACAAGTTTCCAAAAGACATGCTGGGGACAGTAGTTGACAGTAGGTATTTGCAGTCTGAAGGGGAAAGGTGAGGTGGGCAAACATCAGTTTTTTCCTGCTGCTCCAGCTGTGAGACTGTACTTTAATCTGGAAGGGCTCAGAGACATTAGTGAATAAGAAGATTTTTTGTTTTCTTACTGTTTGATTCCTTTTCTTCAGTTTACCCTTTAATAAACATGGAGTGGGAATGAATGAGACAATACGCCTTTGCACGTTGCATGTTAGCTGTGGAAATTGCCAGCTTCATGGCAGTTGTGCCAATTTGGGAAGTACTCAGAGTTCACACTTGGGTCTATGGAATATGCAACAGAGGTGTTATACTGCAGATGTTTTTATGTTTGCATATAGTTACAGCAATCAGTCCTTTTCTGTGCTTATTGTCCCTTTTTACAGTTGCTGGTCCATGGTGTTTCAGAAGTCCTGTAATTGCCTCTGCCCCAACAGGCTGCTATTTTCAATTGTTCTCACATATTTCATAAATTTCTCCTATATTTCTCATGTATATACACGTGTGTAGATATATCTGTATTTATGCCCTTTAATATACATAGGGAAGAGGAGTTAAAAATGCTTGTGCAGTTTGTATGGTCTAAATGGAACTGTTTTAGCAATCAAAAGGCTTTAGAAAGCTAATATCTGACAATCAAAAAAGTTTCAAAGTGGTAGATGAATGAGAGAGAGTTTGCATCCAATCTGTATTTGGAACCAAAAGACATGTATAGCTTTATGATCGGATTAGGGAAGGCAACTAGTACTTTATCCCAAGTCTAACAGTTAGAGGAGAAACTTGGATACCTTCCCATATTTTTAGATTCCCTTTCTTCCTGGTAAGAATGAAGTTTTTAGTAAGGGGAAATTGATAAATGTTAGTTCTCCCTTGCATATTTCTGCTATTATACACTGTCTCTTTTTATTAAGAGTAAATATTATGGTTGAACATTGACTACTTTCTCCTGCAGTCTCTTGAATGACATAATCTGTAGATTTGTTAGGAATGGTGCCTATGTGGGAAGCTCTGCAGATAAGTTACTACTAGGAGTAAATTTTAAGAAGTGGGATCTTTGCAGTGCATCGCTAGCTTGGTTGTCTTCCTCACCTCTGCTTGAAGTGGTGATGACATACAACCAGCTACATAAAAAGCTGTTTTTTGAGTTAGCTGTCATGACTATCTATAGCTGTTTTAGTTTGAGCGGCTTTATCCTTCAGGAACTGAAGAAAGCGAGCAATCTACTGTGGAAGATTACTTAGCTCATGTTAGTTTTCTGGCACTAGTACTAAGGTCTCCACCCACAGAGACTGCTCATGCTGTGCTTTTAGGGACTGATAACTATGGAAGGTTTCCACTGTTAATGGGAGTTGGTTTGCTAACCAGTATTCCAACTTTTCTAGGCCTGTGTGAAATGAAAATAAAATGGGTTTTACAGTTCCATGCTTTTTTTTCTTGTATGTATTTGGAGAACCCATTTGTAGTGACTCATTGAAATACTGATACAACACTGCTATAAGTGACGTGATTGCAGGATCTTCCTTTTCATCATGTTTACTAAAAGGCAAGGTGTTGTATTTTGACATAGGCTTTCCATTAATTACTGAGAATGAAACAGCTTTGTGTAATGCTTCTGTGCTTGGAGTGTAACCACTGAGGAATGATTAGCAAGAGGGAAATTGACCCTGAGATGAATTCTGTTTTTTAATTTGATGAAATAGAAGTAACATTTTTGTTGTCTAATCAAATGACTTTAGTAATACTTAGTCAATACCTTTCTCTCATCCCTCAAACAGTTGCGTTTAACTGGTATAGCAGGATTCAGGTATTACTAATCCATAAAGGACTGGCACGTTTTCAAATCTTACATGGTCTTATCTTCAAGTAGGTGAAGTTGGTTAAACGTCTTCAGAATAGAGAAGTATGCAGTGTGACGTGTGGTGCATTCTTGTAATCACTGTAAATCTAAGGCGTACTAATAATGTTGTTAAACCTAGTATACTAGCAACTGCTCCTTCAGTTTTTCTAGGGTTTTATCATTGTGAAAATAAAATCCTGTAAGAGTGTTTAACTTGCTTTCTGAGTCTTTGATGTAGTCAACTTACATGAGTTGTGTGCTGCTTGCATGGGGAAGAGATGGTAAAGATTCTCCTCTGCCCAATTTCCTTGTAGTTTCTGTTTAGAAGTTGTTATTTTGGCACTGAAGATGATGTTTTTCCCTTTTCTTCAGTTTCTAAGGGAAGATATGCACTACAAGGATGCCTCTAATAAACATAGTCACCTGCACAGAGAAGACAAACATATCACCATTGAAGATCTGTGGAAACGCTGGAAAACGTCTGAAGGTAGGTAAAGAGGAACAGCTGTGGTTATTGAAATGGACATAATTCAACAATTTTTCCACCAAGGAGTTTAGAGTAGTAAATGGATGACCTCGTAAAGAATATTCATGAATCTGTTTTGGTACTGTTATTTATAGGCATATGTAAACCTGACTAAAAACTCATTCAGTCCAGCTAGTGTTAATTTCCTCTTGAGTGCTGGGTGTGTTGTAAGTAAACTAAGCTAGCTTACACACTCATCCATATGAGGTTGTAATTTATGAAGGTGGCTGTTGCAAGTGCTGAATTCCAGATAAGCATATTTTTAATTTAGTAAGCCCTAACAATTGCTGTCAAGCTATTTTTAAACATTTATTATACATTGTAGTAAGTGGAAAGTCCACTGTGCTTCCACTTTGATGTAAATTTTCTTTGGGCTACAAAGAGCTAGAATTCGTAGTCCAAAGCATTTTGTAATATCTTTTTAAACTTGGGATACAGGGAAATGGACTGACAACCCAACACCGCCATTGCTCCCCCACTTTGATTTGAATGAAATAAATAAGTTGAGCCAAATATTCCAAATATCAAAAGACAGTACTTAATAAGCAGTACAGTGTTTATTGCCAACTATGTTCCAGGATGTAGTGATTAAAAACGAAATTCCTAGAGGTCTGGAATGTTAGAGTTGTTAGGAGAAAAATAGTTAACTTTTGGGATTTTTTTCCACACCATTCAGAAAGTGTTGTGCTAATGGTGAGCATATAGAGATCTAGAAGTTGGTATTAGTCAAACAGCTAAAAGTAGGAACAAAAGAGGAGTGAAACTAGGAACACACCATTGGTTCATTCTGCTAATGTAGGAAGTCATATAAGTGCAGTCTGAAGTAATACATTGGTTAAATGTTTGCTGTGTAGTAAGTATGTACGTTTTAACCAGTGATTTTTAGCCTCATCTCTTCAAATATTCTGTAAATACTTATTCACTAAAGATCTCGTTCAATGAAAGTATTGCAACTAAATTAACAGAGAAAATTATCTTCCTACAGTTGTTCCTCTAAGTAACTCTTCAAAAATTTGGGCTATAGTGGTATCAGAAGTATCTCATTTGTCTGTTGTGTATATCTTTGTTCCAGGTTTCTTGAATGTTGTGAGCAGTGTGAGTAAGACTAAAAAGATTTTGAGAGGAATGTCTGGTCTTATTGTGTCTGCTTATAATGGCTTTACAGTGCACCCTGTTGAGGAAACTGAAGTTGCACCACAGGGAAGGCCCTTAGAGTGAGACTCCCAAGTGGTGTTAACAGTCGTCTGGTGACTGTTAGAAAGCATGAAGCCCCTCAAAGAATAAACTACTTTCATTTACTATTAGTTAACATGGAAAATACTGTTTTTCCTTACTAGACTTTTTAGGAATTTTGCTTTATTTTTTTTCTTATGTGCTGCTAGCTTATAGTGCCAGTTTAATGCAATTTGACAGCATTAAACAAGAGGGTGGAAGGTAGTGTAAATGATGGTATCAGTAATTTGAAACTTTGTTAAGTAGTCTGTTGAGGTATCTGCATGAGAATTACAAGCTCTAAATAGTGCCCTTGACAGTGCCCATTAGCGCTTATGCAGAAATGTCTTCTGGATTTATTGCTGCTTAGTTTATGCTGAGTAGAATTGCCCATTCCTTCCCATAAAGCTTGCTTGTTTGCCTTAAGTATTTGTCAAATAGCTTAAAGTTGCTTTCAGTTTAAGATATTGGTGATGTGGACAGATGAGATTTGAGGGAAGAAATTGAAAACACGGTTTATGGTATAGTAAGTGTGTTATTGCTGTTTGTCTCCTTTTAGGATTAAGAAAAAGAGGTTATTTTTAAGTAGTTGCTTGAGCAGAATCTTGTACAGTGAATGGAACCCTGAGGATTGGCTCCATTCAAAGGTTTGAATATTGCCTAATAAAATAAGAGAAGCAGCTTCAGAATATTGCTTTTTAATATTTCTGGCACTTGGCAGGCTTTTGGTATCTCTACCTGGTGCAGAATACTTAAGGCATTGTCTGTACTGGTGCAAATTAAAAGGAATTTCAAGGCTGCTGTAGGTTTTACCTTCATGGAAGGAATCATATCTTAGCTTAAATCAGCATCTAGCCTATTGTTGCTGTGTTGCCACACAGTTTCAATGTTAGTACAAAACAAGACTGTCAATTTAGTTTAATTGATGTTACTTACACTTTTTGCGATCTTTTAAATTTTTTAATATCATCATCTAATTCTACAGAGAGCTCCATTTAGAGGAATGGCTAGGAACTAGCATAGGTGTTTAAAGCATAGAAAAACATTGCTTTCTGAAAGTCCTCAGGCTTCTATTATTGTGTGTGCCTGTTCTTTAAATGCCAGTATATGCTTGTTGTATGGTATTTGCTTTGACTGTCTCCTTTTTAACTAAGCAGTATTTATACACCTACAGAGCCTTTCAGCTATTCTAAAGTCAAGCTTAGTCAAGTTATTGTTGGGTTAAAATCCAAGGTGCATCTTCAGTATTTTTTTTACAAGGGCCTTGAAGAAGTGGTAGTTGTGAGTGCAGTAAAGGGGACAGATGAACATTTGTTTTGATGTCTGAATACTAGTCTTTGTACAATTATCTTTGAAAGTTCTGTGTCTCAAGGGTGTCTGTCTTCTCTTTTTTTTTTGCCCCTCTAATGGGCTGAGATCATATCAATTTGCTGTCTGAAGAGAGGTGTGTAGGTATTTAGTCTCAATAGTAAGGGAGTCTGTAAAATCAGTGCAGCTGGGTCTTCAACTGGGTAATTCTCTGACCTGTCTTGGTGAATAGGTAGGGTGCTGCATTCTCTGTGATGTAGCATTGTCCCTTGGGACTTGATTTTGTAGCAAAGTAAAACCGTATTGGTCAAACCTGGTGTTCATGAATGCTTTACTATTGTCAGGCTAACCTGAGTCATACCAAAACTAGTTTTTACGAACTGCCTTAAAAAAAAGTAGTTTTTCTCTACTGTTATGGCATATTTGACCTTTAATGTATAGTATATCCTGTAGACTGCCCTATAATACAAAAAAGCTTCTCCCCTGCCTTGTGTATTTTTTTTTTTTAACTCTTTTTCCTTCTTTGTGGAAAGTAGAAGGTGACCTGAAGTGTGGTACCTTATTTATTAGGGGAAGAAGGTAAAAAATGGCTTTATGTTTGTAGGTGAGATCATCTGTTGTGTTCTGAGGTAATGTTGCACAAGTCTTCTTGCAGCAAGTGGGACTAAACTGCATACCTCAAAGATGTTATGGTCGCCTCGCACTTTCTTAATCATTTGCTGTCTCAGGTTTTAAAAATCCGGATATTGGAAATACATGCCAGCAGCGCTTGGCTAAGGATGAGTTACATAATGCTGCATGCTGTTCCAGGCAAGACCAGTACAGTGCTGCAGACTGGCCCTTCTGCGTGAGAGGAAACAAGAGTTGTAATCTTAAACTGTTGAAAAGATAGTCAGGGTTACTCCTCTCTTTTGCTTTTTCATGCTATTTAAACACCTACTGGTGGCAGCATATTTCATGCTGATGTTGCTGCTGAAGGTCCTGCTAAAACAAAACTAACTTATGAATCCTTGTGTGTGCTTGATACAGAACAATCTTGTGTTTTTTCTGTATTCCCTGGTCAGCCTGTTCTCAACTTTAAGCCTAATATATTGCTGTCATTCACTCCTTGCCATGAAATACTCTTATTGAATGTAATTTGATTTCTGAAAGGAGTAGGAAGCCCATAGGAGTACTGAGGCTGACCGTGTAATGTTGTTTTACTTCGTGCCTCCCTGCCCTGAAGCAGTGTACAAATTTAACATGAAAAAATGATACATAGCCTGATCTTCTAATCAGCCATTAATGTGGCTTAGCAAGGAGCAACTTTCATATAGGGCCAATTTGAAGCTACTTCTGCTGTCTTCAGCTACCTCCAGGCATGTTGTAATAGCAGTTTAACAACAACAACAACAAAAAAGTACACCCCCTCCCCCCCAACTTATGATCTGAAATAGAACAGCTGATGCAAGTCTAGAGACTTGAGTGCTGCACTGGGGTATAAACACTGTGGCTTCTACACCTGCCTGCCCAAGGCATGTTGCTGACATCCTCTCTCTCTCAAGATATCTATTTGTGAAAATACATGTGAGGGAAGGATGTTATGGTTACTCCTTAATACTATATGCATTTAACTTAAAGTAATTCTCAGTTGCTACTCCACTGTCTGAAGCACTGTATTCTTTTGGGGTGATTAAAATAAGGAAAAGTTACAACCTCAGTTAATTAGTAGGAGCTTGCACATGCTGATTGGCAATGCTGATCGAGATGAATTTCAGCTGGCCTGCTTGCTTTTCAGTACACCTGGTGTATATCACTTGTCTTGTGTAATATTTCAGTAGGCTATAACTGCTTCTGCTGAAGAAAGGCTAGTTTGCTTCTCAGTACTGTATGCTGCTGTAGAATAAACATATATGTTGGTCATAAGGTCTTATTGGAGACAAGTTAAGCAATGCATCTTACCAATATATAGCATATAGAAGATATCAACACAAAGAAACAGTCTGAATGTTTTCACTAATATAAATCAATATTCCAGGGCTCCACTGTGATGCTGTAGGAAAGGGAGGACAGGGTAGTTTAGGGTCTGGTTCCACCTGGAAAAGTTGGGGATTTGCAGGCACTGACACTGGAATTCCACTAATCCAGAATTAGTTTACATAATAAATCTAGATTTCTTGTGAAATATGTGCATGGGCAGAGATTCAGACCATGAAATGCCAGAATAAGACTTGACTGTATATATTGATTATGCTTAGCTTCAATGGCAAGTGGTCCTTTCAAAGGACACAACAAACACCGAAAGGTAATTGTTACCTGTTTACATGAAAGTTACTGTCAGTGTAAGAATACAGAAAGGACAAGTTCTGATTCTAGTTCAGGATAGACTTCAGTTGCTTCTTTTCACAGTTTCTGTACTAATGGAAGTATCTGATACAGTCATAGATAAGAAATAGCACAGTGTTTTTTCCTAAATATAACTGGTTTGTTTGGGGAAATTTCTGTGATATTCTATGAAGGAAACATCACACCAGTCTAACCAGTAGAAGAGACTTGATTGGCTCTGCTGTAAACAACTTCAATATGTACCTCCTTTGTTAACATGATAATATGTTTAAAATTACTACTGAAGTATAAAAAAGTACAAATTTACATAAAATTTGACAGAGAGTGTGACTGCAAAATACTTTCAACAGTAGAAGTGAAAATTCTCAATGTTCTTTTTTTTTCTTTTCTTTCTCCCCCTCAATTTATAAATTCAGTGAATTGTGTGGCTTCCGAAATTGCATGTTCTGTACTGTCAGTAATAAAGTCTGTAGTGTGTAGTAGCTATTTTAGGTGACTTTCTTCCTATGTCACATAAAAACAATGCTTTTGCTTTGGACCAGTTTATGGACATATTTCTGAAATGCAGTTAAGGTGATATTTTTCTGGATGATCTTGCCACCCTTTTGAGATGATTAGAATGACTTGTAAATCTGATCACTTATTTTTCACAAAACAGTTAAGAGTCTTTGCAGCATGAAAATGATCTGTTTACAAATAGAGCCCAGACATTTTGCGTAAAAACTTAGAGTAGTATGATAAAACTGAGTCTGTGGCAAGATCAATACCTGGAAAACAGTTTGTGGCTGAAAAGCAGAGGAAGAAATGGGACAGCGTGCTGGGAAGGAGGTGTAGCCATTCATACGGGTGGAATACAAGTGGTTTGTACTGTGAGTTTATTTTTTAAAGCTGTAAGTGGGTCTGTGAAATGTGTTCTGTCTCCGGTTATCTAGAAGGATGAAAATCTGAAATGTGTAAGCTTATTTTTCAGCTACGCTAGTGTAGACAAGAGACCTAGAAGTCCTTATTTCAGTTTCAGTGTGAACTGAAATATGAATTTGAACTCATAAAAAATTCCGTTTCCTGCAGCTTACCTATCAAGCTTTCAGCAGCTCTTTCTAAAGGGTCTTTGTCAGAATTCACCACTGCGAATGTGTCCTTGTGATAAGGTTGCTAAAGAAATCTCTGACCAGCATTGTCACATACACGCAAGTAGTTTTAGATAGAGAAATGTTTAAAGGCTGGGGGGGGGTTGTGTGTGTGTGTGTGAATTGTTCATGCAAAGGTATATCTGTCCAGAAGGAGGCTGTTGCTTTATTTCTTTCATGTACAAACAAAATTCTGCAGACTTCATAAATGGAGAGAACAATTTCACTTCAACTTTGTCAGTGTGAAGCTGTAAGCTGTAGCAGCTGGCCTGTAAGGGCCAGAAATGTGATTTTTTTGTTTGTTTTTTTTGTAAAATCTATGGGTAGTAATTCCTTATTTTCTTAGAGCACGGGTAGCTATGAAAGTTTATATAGACTGTTGCTGTTATACAGGAAAATTGTTAATTATTCTCTACATGTGTTTATTTTAAATAATTTTTCTTAGTGGGAAGATTATTGCATGTAATACAGCTGGTTGGGGCATATTTGAGAGAAATTTAATTGTTTTCTTGTTAAATTTCTTCTGTCTGAATGAAAATACTGAAAATCTCCTCTCTTCTCTGCTCCCATTTTGTGGTTAGTAGGCATGAGCTTCTATGAAGATTCTTGTGAAAACAAGTTCTTAAGGCATCACCCTGGGAAAGATCTTGGTACATTGCCTTAAAAGGCTACAACACCTGCTGACGTGTTTAGTTCTGCAAGGGTAGCAAGGACAAAAGGATTGAGGCTGAGATCAGTTTAAGTAGATAACAGTCACAAGATGCTGTCCTGATTTAAACTAAAGCAAAACACTAAATTATTCTGTGGAATTTTTAATAAAGAAATGTTTCTATTGGTTCCATGCTTGTTTGTTTATAATTTGCTTAAACTTCCTCTGAGAAGCATATAATGAAAAAGGCAAAATGCCAGAAACACCTTGGTGAATGTTACTTCTAGTTTCTCTGCAATTATATTTGGCTAAACCCTCTTGCTCACTGTAACCTGCTTTTCTATTGCTTGTCTTCTATGTCTTGCTATTGATTTTTACAAAAATTAAAGGTAACTAAACTGACTTTTTATTCCAGTTCATAACTGGACTCAAGAAGACACTCTTCAGTGGCTGTCAGAATTTGTTGAACTGCCCCAATATGAAAAGAATTTTAGAGACAGCAATGTCAATGGAACAACACTTCCCAGGTGAAAGTTTCTTCTGGCTTAGTTTCAAATGCTTCCCTGTAGGTTGCTGCTTTAGTCTGTGTGTGGGAACAACTATGTTGAACCTAACGTCTAACAAGATATGGTCAAATGCAAAAAAAGAGAAGCGTGCTTGCAGTTTTGAAGAGCTGGCTGCATTTTTTCCTGCCAAAATATTTCAAAATATAAATGCTTCTTGCCACTCCTTTCATCTTAGTTTTGTTTCTTGCTTTTATAAATGATCGCATAATTCTTTATGGTAGTCAACTTTCTTTGAACAACTTCCAATCTATTGTAGGGATATACATCAAAAACTATCTGCAGAACCCCTTTTCTAGACCATAACTACTAAGTTTGAGTATTGCATGTACTTCAGAGAGTTGTTGTCACAAGTCTGCAAATACACCACTACCTTTAACTATGTCAAATGGATTTATTTCATGATTATTCCAGAAAGAAAAGAATAGGAAATGATTTGATGTTCTTCATTTGCCACATGCTGATATGTTGTTTTTTATAGCACTGCTGTCATTGTATTGTATCTCTCACTCTAATCGCCTAACTATATAACTGTGGGAAATGCTATTGATGTATTTCTTTCCATAGACTGGTTTTGAATATAGCTTGTGGAATAGGTAACATTTCGTCTTTATCATTAACAGGATAGCAGTTAATGAACATGCTTTCATGATATCTCACTTGAAAATAATTGACCGGAGCCATAGACAGAAGCTTCAGCTTAAAGCCTTGGATGTTGTTTTATTTGGACCTCTCACACGTTAGTAACTTTTTGGAGTTTTTTCTCCTCTCTTACCTGTAAGAATTTTAACAGAGAATATTTTCAGTGATACTTGATACTGTAGGTAGGACAGCTTATTTATTTTGTGGATGTACTGATGGATTGCTTTGCATGTGTTGTGGCACTGGGCAATGAATTGAAAAAGGTTATCAAGATGCTGCGATCCATGTCTGTGTGTAAGATTACATAGAAATTTTAGTATAACCCCACTTGACAGATGGATGTTGCCTTTTGTGTCACAAGATGTGCCCTCTAAATGTTTTTGACTGTTTAAATTACACTTATAGCTAACGTTATATTCAATTCCTAACTAGCTTGGACAGTGTAAGCTGGGATGCTGAAATGAGAGGGGATGACCTTCCCCAAGGAAGAAGAAAGGAGATGGTGGTGCAAATCCAATACTAGTGTCTATTGTTTAGACCTGAGTTTAAGTGCAGTTAAATTTAATGTGGGAGTTCCACATCTGACCTATTTTAGCATATGCAGACCCTTCCTTACCACATCACCAATGGTCTGCATGCTTGCTTGTACACAGTTAAAGATCTGTTGCATGTTGGATATTCCTGAACTACAAGGCCCTTTCAGAGCTTGGTGGTCATTTTGGAGAGTAGTAAATGGCTTTGTGAAAGTCAGGCCAGATTTGAGCTGGCCTGACTGAGTTGAGTTAGCCTGACAGAACTGAGCTGGAATTTTTAGGGGGAAAAAAAAAGTGCTTTTTGTTTGTATTATACCTTTAATGCTAGCAGAAACTATCTTTTGAAAGTTTGTTTTAGAAAGGAGCAAGTGGCTATAAAAGTTGTACTAACAAAGAACTGTATGTGAATCTTGGATATGATACTTTGACAATCCAGCTTTTGCTTTTACAAAGTACTGCTATTAGCTAGTTACCCTTTTAAAATCTACTTTATTTTGTACAAGTGTATTTTTAACTCGGCATAGGGTATTCCAGAGGGTGCAGACTGGGGAGAACTTAAACATAACTGAAGTTCCTACTGGCCTGATAAAGTGTAATTGGGGAAGCCCTCTCAACTCATTTAAAGAAAGATAAAGACTATGTACTGTAAAAGCTTAGTAAGCTTTCCTCAATCTAATGTATGTTTTAGTATAGATTAAGTAGGTTGTATTAGTGCAGAGTTGCTTATGTTGTATGGAGAATGCTCTGGGATCCATCTGAAAGGTTGAAAGGTATTTGTTGGAGATGGTTTGAGATAAATGAGATGGAATTCTGTTTAGCATCAGGTTCTGTCACCTTTTAGGCTGTGGGGGTGAAAAAAAAACCAAGTCCATACTCTGTTGTCTGTATCAGTGAACTAGTTAATGATAGTGTTATTCTCTGCGCAGGTCCCCCTCACAACTGGATGAAGGATTTTATATTAACAGTCTCTATAGTTATTGGTTTTGGAGGCTGCTGGTTTGCATATACACAGAACAGAACCTCAAGAGAACATATCACAAAAATGATGAAGGACTTGGAAAGTCTCCAAACAGCAGAGCAAAGTCTTCTTGACTTGCAGGAAAGGTATAAAAACAAAAAAAGTTAATGTTTAGTTGTCCTTTTGTTTTGAGGTTAAATACAAATGCAGATCCTTTACAGTCATAAATTATTTGCATTAAGCTGCCTTCGGATTTTGTTCATTTTGCATAGACATTGTCATTTCAGTGATGATGAGTTTTGGGGTAGAAATTGCTCCCGGATATTTTAGCAGGCAATACGAACTTGGGGATGAAGGTAGAGAATAGAGGTTCAACCTTCTTTACCTACAGATTTAGAAGTATTTACTGTTATTTTCATATAATTACAGTTTACTTTGGAATACTTACATACATGGAAATGAGACTATTTCTCCTGTTTTTAAGCTCTCAAGATTGAGACAGACCTGGACTGATTACTTTCTGTTGCTTATTTAACAGTGTGAGAGTTGATGGTCTTCTCTGGTGCACCTGTAACTCAGTTGTCTATAAAGACTTGTACTTTGATCTTACTACACCTTTAATGAAGGTTCACATAAAAGTTTGCATATTTTGTCTGATGTGGACATCACGTTGTGTGATGTAATTGCTGCTGATTAATGAAGCTTGCACAGTCTTTATTATCACAGAATGGTTAAGGTTAGAAGGGGCTTCTGGAGGTCGTCTTGTCCAGCCTCACCTGCTCAAGCAGGATCAGTTAGGACAGGTTGCCCAGTACCATGTCCAGGTGACTTCTGAATATGTCCAAGGATGGAGACTCTACCACTTCCCTGGGCAACCTGTGCCAGTGCTTTGTCACCCTCACGGTGAAAAAAGTGTTTCGTGATGTTCAGATGGAACCTGTTGTTTTGGTTTGTGCCCACTGCCTCTTGCCCTGTTGCTGGACACACTTTCTTCTCCTGAGGGCTGCAACTTTTAACAAATATGCTGTGTATTTTTCTCATATTTTTTTTCAATTGTGAAGGCTTGAGAAGGCACAAGAAGAGAATAGAAATGTTGCAGTGGAAAAGCAAAATCTAGAGCGCAAAATGATGGATGAGATTAATGACGCAAAACGGGAAGCTCATCGCCTAAGGGAGTTGAGGGAGGGAGCTGAATGTGAGCTCAGCAGGCTCAAATATGCAGAGGAAGAGCTAGTACAGGTATCTGCAAACTGTTTATAATTTTAGTGTTGACTTTAAATTGGTCCTGGTTTTATTAGATCCTTAGGAGTGTTTAAAGCAGAATTTCTCTAATGCTAGATTTTAATGGAAAAAAGAATTCTAAGAGCACTTAATGATTGTCTGTTAACCATGCCATTATCTAGTAAAATAATCCTGAAACTATAAAAAAAATTATACTTTGTATATTAGCTCATCATAATGTTGTTGGATTCATGGAACAAAATATATACAAAAAGCCTTTTTTTCTCTCTTGTTATCAGATGAGAGATAGCAGCTTTGTCTCTTGTGAGTAGCAATAGGTTGGATTTATTGTACTAAATAAAAATACTGTCTTACAAAAATATTTAAGCTTCAAGTTAGGGACTATATATCATAGGAGAAAAAAATCTGAGTATAATATAGTATATGGAAATTCGTATGCTGTATTTCATAAGTGCCAGATCTGCCTTCCTAACAGCAATTGGCACACACCAAAGCTCTGTAAAGCCTTAGTGTGTTGCTGTGGGGTATAAAGGTGCTTATATTTCACTTTCTTCTGCTGTCAGTTCTAATGATACTCTTGGTGACACTTTTATTTCTTCTTGATTGCTAGGTTCGCATGGCTTTAAAAAAGGCTGAGAAGGAGTTCGAGCTGAGAAGTAATTGGTCTGTTCCCGAAGCTTTGCAGAAGTGGCTTCAGTTAACACATGAAGTTGAAGTACAGTATTACAATATCAAAAGACAGCATGCAGAAATGCAATTAGCAATCGCCAAAGATGAGGTAATAACTCTTACTCTTCAGCTACTTAAAGACCTTCCTGATCTGTTGCTAGATATATGAAATAGTAAATACAAATTATTCAGATAAGCATTTGAATTTTTTTTTCCTCTGAGTTGTTGTTTGCTACCTGTCAATATTGCTAATGTTTTGTCACCTGTGTTAAGTATATATCCTAGTTTTATGCATTTCATTTTATCTTGCTTTTTAGGCAGAAAAGATAAAAAAGAAGAGAAGCACTGTATTTGGAACATTACATGTTGCACACAGCTCCTCCCTAGATGAAGTGGACCATAAAATCCTTGAAGCAAAGTAAGAGTTATTACCAGGATGTGTATTCATTTGTGATTATTAATTCCTGGAACAATGGAATTTTTAGTATCTTAAGTGTTTTTGCACTTTTAAATAAAACAGTTTAAAAGATATTAAAGTACAAATATTTGGACAGTCCTCATGGATCTTCTGGTGTGCTGGAATGACTGCACTTGTGTTGCTTTGCTGTATCATTAAGAACAGTGTATGTAATTTTAATGTGTGCTTTTCTTCAGGAAAGCACTCTCTGAGTTGACAACGTGTTTGCGAGAGCGTCTTTATCGATGGCAACAGATTGAGAAGATTTGCGGTTTTCAAATAGCACACAATTCTGGGCTACCAAGCTTGACCTCCTCTCTCTACTCTGATCACAGCTGGGTAGTTATGCCTCGAGTTTCCATTCCTCCTTACCCAATTGCAGGGGGAGTTGATGACTTAGATGAAGATACTCCTCCAATAGTTTCACAGTTTCATGGTAAGTGGTGAGCTCAGTAAAAAGAAAGGGGAAAAGTTGTGGAGGCATGGGATTTTAAAGTCAGGTGGGAGAAGAGTGCTGAAATCAAACAGGATTGGATCAAAGTCAAAAGGACAAAAGTTCTATCTAGCATTTCAGGTGCATTTTTTGGGACTTGCATAAACTGAAAACTGGGTTTTGCAATAGAGATAACATGAAGAAAAAGCCTTTATTCCATTTCAATGGGGGAGTGGGGGGCAAATCCAGCTGAGGTTTTGAAAGTCTGCTTGTCATGCTTGGATTGCCACTTAGACAAAAATTTATAATGAGTAATGCTGAATTTCTGTTAGCCCATTTATTCTTTCAGATGGAAGGGATGGAGTTAGTCTAGGGTCCCTTGAGCTGCTAGGAAGATCACACCCTTTGAGAGGCTGCATGCTACATAGCTTTTCAAACATTCTTTAGTGGCTGGAACAAAATCATGTTGTTGTCCAAGGGAAGCTTTCAGGCAGAATGTTTGTGTTTGGGTACAGTGGGTTGTTTGAGTGTGAGGCAGAGAGGCCAAGTGCTGGAGGGAGGGAAATCCAGCTTTGGTTAAACTATGATCAAAAGATACACACTGGGGATTCGGACCACCCTCATATCTTGAGTCATTGTGTCAGTATAAGAGCCTGTTTCGTGGAAGTTGTGATTAACTGGACTCTAGAGGCAAATCAAAAAGATGAGCTCCCATGTAGCTATTTAAACAAGCAATAACAAGCTGAGGAATGAGTAGGGAAGAAAACTTTGTCATATATGTACATTTTTCTTCCAGAGCTGGGATTCTTAGAAGAAATTAGAACTGTATTTTTAAACAGCACAAGGAGAATGGTCACCACTTTGCTGGCTTCATTTAGTGTGCCTTGGGCACACGTTTTTCTTCTGAATGTACCAACCTTTTCTCTACAGGCCACATTGAAAAGTTCATTAATCCCCTTGCAACACTACTTACTGCAAGTTCTGATCACTTTTAAAGAATAGTGTCTCTCTAGTTGTCTTCACTGTGAAGGCTTTGATTTAAACCTTAGCAACAAATTTCTTGGATGGCCCAGTAAAATGTGGATGCCTAGAGTTAAACTTCCAAGTCTGTATGGAGAAACCTGTGGTCTGATTTAAAAATGAAGAGCTCCATTTATTAGCACAACTTTCCAGATGGTCTAAAATGACAAAACACTTGGATATGTATATAAGACTTCAGACTTTTTTTTTTAGCCACTCTTCTCATTCAGGTCTTGCATAGAAATGAAGCCAGAGAGCAAAGTGCAGCTGGTTCAGAGGAAGTAAAATTAGAGAAGGGCTTGTACAGTTTGTAAGAGCATACTTAATTGAAACTTTACTGTATGTTTTTGCAATTATGGTTTAATTATTTTGTTAGAGTTCAGTTCATTTGGAAGTATTTAGCTAATGGATGTTGTCTCAGTAGTGAGTTATCTGAATCTTAGTAACGTTACAAAAACTTTAAGTGTATTTTTCTGAATTTTGGGAAGGCATGAGAGCCTGATTTTGTTAAAGTGATCACATAGCTTCTCCTTTATTTACTAGCTTTTAAAATTTCTACTTGGTAAAAAAAACCTGGAAACGCTTTGGCATGGGGAAGGAGAGGGAAAATATGCTAAATGATCTGTTGTTGAAACCAGTTCAGGAGTCAAATTATTGTAGGTTAGTTTGATAACTGCTACATTATTCCCAACTTTTAGACAAAAATGACAAATGCACACGAGGAAGGAGAAGCAAAATGGCTTGTGTCATGAGGCTTCAGGCAAAATGCAGTGTGCAGAAGCAAAACGCAGTGTGCAGACAGGTCAGTTATGAGCAAGACTGTTTCAGTCTTTGGACCTATACTGAACTACCTGGGCTGTTACCTTGCCCCAGCAACCTTTGATCTTTTAAGATTGACAAAATTTGAAGTCTGCCAGACAGGCTTCTTTGTGCCGCAGCAGTTGGGATGATAGGCTAAAATGGTGTGAAGTAATAGATCTGTTTAATCAATTCTGAGCTGAAGAACAAAAGGTGATAAAGAAGTAGAGGTATGAGACTGGAACAAAGTCATTACAAGAAGGTGATAGTGAAACTTCTACTTTTCCACTGACTGGTTAGGATTCAGCTGATTTTTAGTGAGTTTCATTTGTACTAGAAAATTCTAGATGTTAAATTGTCATAGCTGAATCCTTCATAATCCTGTGTATATACACTTACAAGGAACTAAAATGCTTGTAACTTCTCTCAAAATTCACTGATGGTGCAATCCTGTTCTTTTTTTACACTAGTGAGTAGGATGGCATCTGATTTACCTGTACACATAGTACAAATTTGCTAAAGGGATTCTTATTCTCTTATCTCAGTTCACATTTACTTTTTTAGGAATATTTTTGTAATGACACTAGCTTATTTTTGAGCTGCCAACACCTCCTTTCAGGTCAGTAGGGAGTTAATCAAAAGTAAAACCAAAAGTTTGAGTTACATGACAACTGTCATGTTGGAACTTGTAAACCTTTCTTTTCTGCTCAGCCTGGTAGGAAACAAAGTCTTAAGTGTTGGGGAAGGTGCAGCTACTTGCTCTTTTGTGAAAGTTGTGATTTCTTGCACTAAAAGCAGAATGACAACTCAACCTTTTCTGAGATTCCGGGAAGGGAAACTGTAATTTACCTGATGCTAAACTGGCATCTCAAAAAACAAAATGCATTTTGTCAGGCTAGACATCCTTGTCTACAAAAATAATTGAATTTTTTTAGTGTGTTGTGTTTGGTAAACATTTTGAACATCAGTAAGGGTATGGTCTGTCTTGCCTAAGCAGTGATATATTCTGTGGGGCAGTTTGAGGAGGGGTATGAGAAGTCCTGAGGCTCATAACAGCTAGCCTGAAAACAGGTCTGTAGATGTATTTCCATAGAAGTATTGCTGCCTAATCATCTTTTGAAGGAGGAATTGGATTAGGAACATTTCAGTTTGTTACTTCCTGTTAGACACTTCCCTGGTCAAGTCTTGTGTTGCTGTCTCCACCCATTCTTAGTATTTTTGTTTCTGGAAATTCATAGTTAGCCTGGCAAAAGAATGTGTTATCAAATAGGAAATTCTTGAGCTTAAAATGAGGTTCTATTATATATTTTCTGCATGTTATATAAATGAAATTGGTCTTCTCTGTGTAATGTAACTTTCAAATAATGCAGTGTATCTCAGTTGGCTTTTTGGTTAGGTAGACCTACATTGCAAAACTTCTACATATTCTTTTAAGCTCCAAATCTCCACACAAGTAAAATACAGGATATTGTGTAACATACTAATTTCAGCACTGCTATTTTTAGTTTATAAAGGGTTGGGAGTTTCAGTAGAATCTTTCTCTTTGTTCTCAAGAGAGCATAGCGAGCCAGAGCTTTGGTGCACATCGAGTAATATTTGGCCCGCACAAAACTGCTGCAGTTGCATTTTGGTTAGCTGCTTCATCTAACTGTAGGATGTATAAAAAGTGATGCCAGTCTTTCTTCCCCCTAAACAGTCAAGCAATGTCAAAGCTGTTTAAGAATCACTGTAGCTGAAGCAGATACCTGCTATTTAGTCTTCAGAGTAGATATTGTTAACATCAACGTCACTTGGAGAGTTTTGGTTTTCTTTTTCTTTGCCTCAGGGTCGATTGTAAAACCTCCCAGCACACTGGCAAGAAGCAGTAGCTTGTGTCGATCGAGACGCAATGTTGTGCCATCATCTCCACAGTCTCAGCATGCTTTGCACTCCCCTGACCCTGACATCCTTTCTGTGTCGAGCTGCCCAGCTCTTTATCGAACTGAAGAGGAGGAGGAAGCCATTTACTTCTCTGCTGATAAACAATGGTACGGAGATTAGCAAACAGCACTTGGAACTCTGATAGGATTATTTGAGACTAACAGTTTAGAATTAGAGGTTGAACCAAGCCAAAAGTTAAAGTAATCTGTAGGATAACATAAATTAATATAGTCCACATGGAACAGAGAGAGTTCTTGTCTGGTATGTGTATGTAAATAGCTAGCATGTCATATACAGTTAAGTAATGTTACAGTCCAGGGTGCACTGAACTAACCCTGATTCTCCATTACAATATGTTACTGGCTTTTACATCTGAAACTAGGATCAAAAGCAATGTCAGCTACTGGGCGAAGAGAAGATGGATGGTAACACAATTCTTACAGCATGTTGAGCGTGTACCTACTCTTGTTACATGGCCTCATAGGAAAAGGTTAAATTCCTTTTGGAAGGAGCAAATGAGCTTGTTGAAAGGTAGGGACACTTGTCCTGAAGAAACTTTTTGTATATGATAGGCTTAAATTTCCTTCTTTCATTTCATAACTTTTCTGACTTCACGTGCCAGAAAGATAGTTTTTGTTCTTTGAAGTGAGATACAAATGACTGATTCTGGGCAGATGCTGCTGCTGCCCACAAAAACCAAGATTGCACAGACTAATTATCTTAAGTTTAGATAATAAAATGATGTCCTGCAAGTTGTAACTTAATGTTTAACTTAATGTTTTTTGTTAATTAACTACTAAGGAAAAGTGTGGGTGGTGCTTTTAGACTAATGCTATTGATTCTAAATTAATTTCCTTTTTAACTCCATGAAGGAAATGGTAGTTTCATTATGTTTTCTCCTCTTTCTGCTCTGACTCAGGGAAGTACAGGAAACAGGTTCGGAATGTGACTCCTTAAATTCATCCACTGGAAGGAAGCAGTCTCCTCCAGCAAGTCTTGAGATGTACCAGACACTTTCTCCTCAGAAAGCATCCCCAGAAGAATTCTCACTGGAGGAATCATCTACAGGAGACTCCTCTTCTCTAACTGCAGATATTTCTAGGGGCTCTCCTGACTGTGTAGGCATGGCAGAAACTAAGAGCATGATCTTTAGTCCTGCAAGCAAAGTTTATAATGGAATCCTGGAGAAGTCCTGCAGCATGAACCAGCTTTCAACTGGGATCCTAGTCCCAAAGCCTCGGCACACCTCGTGTTCTTCAGCCAGCAGTGATAGTAAACCCAGCCATGAAGCTGCTTCTGTCCCTAGGATAAGTAGCATCCCACAGGACCTGTACCAAAATGGTGAAAAAAACAAAAAGCCATCGAAAATAAAAAGCTTCTTTAAGAAGAAGTGTAAGTGAGGTGGGCAGAAGAAACCTATAGTAATATTACAAGAACTCTATTTTTTAAATCTTTAGGAATGTAATTCCATTTGAGCATTCCAAACTGGATGCCCTAATGGAATGCTCTGTAGGTCAACTATATTTAACTGACTGTACTGTCAAAGGTCGTGCCAGCTGTCAATGAGAAATCATTAAAAAGTTCAGACAGTTTACATTCATTTCTGCCTATTTATTTCTTTTTTTTAGTTTGTCTTTTTTAGTGTTGTTTTTTTTTAATTTTGTTTTGTTGTTGTTTCCCCCCCCCCCCCCCCCCAATTTATTCATAAATCATTTTTAAGCCACTTTGGACTTCTAAGCTTTAATGGACTAGTAAGCCTTCCTGGGCTTGCCAAAGTTTCTTGTTTACCGGAGCATCTTCCTATCTTTCCGTAGAGCTAGGACATTTATCTACTGGACTTTAAGAAAAATAAAAGAAGTAGAACTAATTGAATTGCACTACTGTTTTACAGACTGGAAAAGTCTCTCTGCAAGTGAAACTGAAAGACTTGTATTTGACTGAGAAGATGAATCTTTTCACTTTTAGATCTTTTGGGGTTTTTAAGTAGAACTTAGGATTTCTAATTGACTTGATTTCTGGAAATGGAAATGCCATGCTTTTACTATGGGAAGCTTTGTTAGATGCATTTATTATTAGAATGGTTCAAGTCCTGCTGTAAAGATCATGTTTTTCCCAGGACTTTCACTGTGATTTTACTTCACTGCAGGCTGTATGACAAAAAAAAAAAAAAAAAAAAAAAAAAGGAAAAAACTAATTTAACAAGAGAAAAGGCTCTTGATTCCTTATGCAAGTGATGGATATGAAACTTGACTGAGGACTGAAAATATTCACCCTCTTAAAATGAGGAGGGGGGATAGTAGCTTTTGTTTACAGACTGACAGACAATGGACGTTTGGTTTGTGAAAGTTTGTACTGTGGTGAAGATAATAAATTGGAAACATTATTGTGCTTGGGAATGTTCCAATTTTAGCTGATGCTTGTTTCAGACACGTTTCAGAGGTCCTGTTAATCGAAAGCTGTTGTAGGCTACATTGCTTATGCTTACTGCTATGTATAAGTTATATTTTTTTGGATTAGCTATTAATGTCTTAATGTCCTCTTTTTGTAAGATTTCATACACTTTATTTTTGTATAGTTTGAAGATTTAGCTGTTCAGACATGTCTGAAGTAAATGGTATAATTTTATAATGCATACTGTTATACTAACTCATAATTTTAGATATAAAGGTAGATATAAAGGTGAGACTTGACATGCTTCAGATAAAAGCAATTTTTATGTTAAGCTTTTGCTTTTGTAGGGAGAGATGAAATTACTACGAGGTAACAAGGAAGCCTTCTTAGGGCAACAGTAGCTAGTTGTTCAAAAACATCTTTTTATTTATTTTAAACAGTTGGAGACAACCAATGTACTGCTTGAGCAACAGTGCCTTTTATTCAGTTTGTTTGAAAATATTAATACTGAGCAGGAATTTCTTTTGAGGTACATTCCAAAGAAATACTTCTTGCTCTGGTGAACACAAGCAATTTACCCAGTGATGACTAAATAGTTTCAGCTCTTCCACAGGGGTGTTCTAGTTGCCTCAGTAACAGGTGCCACTGCCAGGGACCTGTGATTAGGGACTCACTTCTTGCCAATATGTACATGCTGTACTGTATGAAAGAATTAAATCACTGACTGCCTGAATTTTTTTCTAGTAAGGAACCTTCAAAACCTGTAGGTAATTGAAATCAAGTGATACATGTATTTTCTATCATTTTCTATTTAGGTTCCACTGTACATAACCGATGTGTTAGTTCTGTCCTGAAGAAGTGGTGGTGATGTTAACAGAAGCATTTACTGTGGCTAGTGAAATGGTTAGAAGAGGAAGGTTAGAAAATGGGATGGAGACCTTACATGTGAAAGTACCTTAAAACTCCTGGTACATTGATTAATTCCTTAAGAGAACAGGAATCCAGAGTTTTGCTGTCTAACAAAGAATGAGTGTATGTCATCTATACAGAAAAGCATAGGAGGAATCCCCTGTTTGGTAAAGTTTGGAGAAGAGAAAAATTGGTCGAATAGAAAATAATGAGAATGTGATATTCCATTATTCTCTGAATCATCAGATTGAACAGCTATAGCTGCAAAAAAAAGTCATCACAAGGTAATGGTCTCTTTGAACAAAGATTGTACACTCTGTACATGGTAGACAAAAAAAGCAGTGATGCAGAAAGACTTGTGCCAGAGAACCACCTCAATGCTGAGCCTTCAGAGTTGTAGTTAAAAGCCTGATGAAGTACTTGAACATGTACAAAGGGAAAAAATACATAAAAGTAAGGAACTTATTTTGCCTCACAAACAGCATGGAGAAGACTGCTAACAGAAAATGTTCAGTTTTGATGTCTGCACTTGAGAAGGCAATAGCAATAATTGAGTTTAAAGTAAGATCTGGGGCTGGATAGTAGATCTTGCAGTGTGAGGTTTGAGGAACTCTGCTCTATCGTTACCAAAGAAGATGAAGCAGCATTTTGATACTGGAGAGTAAATATTTACACATGGAAAAAAATATCTGGTACTGAGAAGTGGGAGGACAGCACTTCTTAATCCTGGCATCAAAGTCAGGCAAGCTCAAATACTGAGAAGCCAAAACAGACTAAGTCAGTTTTCTGTAGTAAGTATAATTAAAAATTGAAATAGAGGTGATGTTGGACTCTTCATTGGCTGTGAGTTTAAGTGTTAAGTATCTTTTTAAAATACAAAATTTAACTGTCTTCTGGAAAAAAATGTTATGGTATTGTACAAACAAATCAGATGAGATTATCATAGTGATAGATTTTGGCTTCAAAATGGCAAATCTTTGGAGAACAGACTGCTCTTAATACTAAGTTTATCACCAGCTGTCCTGTAACCTTATAGCTGCTGCTTACTAAGTATTATAGAACTAAAAGCTTAAGTTAACATGATCAGAAGTGGTGAGTATTGTATGTTGGAGCACAAGGTGTACTTTCAAGTTCATGGAGTTGGTTTGGTTTTTTTGGTTTGGTTTGGTTTTGTTTTGTTATTTTAATAGACCTCTTGCACATCTTCCCACCTGAATTTGTACACGATCTAAGTGACTTGCATTGCTCCTACTATGGCTACTGTAGAAATGCTCATCTTCAAACTGTTAGCATCCTTTTGCTAAGGTGTGTTGAGAGCGCTGACCCTCACTGGCAAACATAAAGTCCAGTCTTAATGTTGCAGTACCTGGCATATGTCAACATCTCAGAAATGAGACGATGTGCTTTAAAAGGTCCTCCGTTTTTCTCCGTTTGCTTAATGGTGTAACTTGAACTGGCTGGCAGTCAGTGAGTCTAGCCAGCATTCCAACCACTAGGATTTCTGTAAGACATGTCAGTCATTCAAGACAATCATCTAGTGTCATCATCCTTAAATGGCTGAGGACTTCCTAAGCTCTGAACTCAGAATGGTTGTGATCAGAGGGTTGGGGTTTGGGGTTTTTTTTGAGCTTTTACAGCTAAAATCCATGTTCTATTTTAAATTCTCCAGTATTTCTCAGAAGATGAGGATCTTTGCTTGCTTAAATATTTTGTTAGAGTCCTTTGTCAGGAAAGCAGCCCCTTTGTGGAAGCTGCCTAAGAGGTTACCATTTAAGTCTTTCACCTGTAAAAGGAACAAGTGTCAAGTGTGTGGTTCTATATATAAATAAGAAGGAAAAAACCCCCAATTCTTCTAAAACTGAACAAACCCAAACCTTTCCACAATTCTTACTAAAGCTATGTGACACTTCTTTCTTAATAGCATAACAATTTTAGGAAAGGCATTTCTGGTTGCCATGGGGAATGCTTTTGACCAGCTTACACTGTCGACTTTGAGATTAAAACAGTTGATTCTTTTTCCCTGCTCAGTGATGGAATTTAAAATTGCTTATTGGCAGTTCTAGGCATATGTCAACTTTTCTTTCCCCACTTCACTGGTACCTAGGTAGCAGATTACCCACCACTTTCTGATGGGCAGTTTGCCAAAAGAGGGAAGATTCTCCATCATAGTCAAGGTAATAATGTTATAGTAAGAATACAGTTCCTCATTTGGAAGCCTTGAAGGTGGTAAAGCCAAGGATACTTGGCTTCAGTTTTCTTATGATATTTATGGATGCCAGCTTGAGTTAGGCATTAACTTATGACAGACTGAAAGCCTAAAAAGGTAAAATTAATTAGAAATTGAAGCTTTCAAGAGTTTGCCCTTTTGCTTCCCAATAAATGGGAAAACAGCATGCACAGGAGAGAGATGAGCTCTAATTAGCATTTCTCATACTACCAGCTTTTAGAGCTTCAGGATAGTTTCATTCCATTTCCAAGATATGTTGCTAGAGAGGGATTACTACCTTAATTTTATAATGCATGCAAAGAAGCATTTAGTTTTCATTTACTTACAAGCAGGGGAGAAGAATGTAAATAAACTGAATGCTTAATTTTGGAAAAAAAAAAAAAAAATTTTTTTAAAGCCAAATAGAGGAATTACTGGTTCTTGGACCTCTATTATTTGCTTATATCCTTGTACAATATGTTAAGTAGGGTGAACACTGTTTTCTAATCTGTTCCAGTTGCACTGACTGAAGTGATGGATTACTATCTCATGTTTGAAACACTGCTTGCTCTGAGTTGCTGTAAGCATTTTAATCCTGGATATTGCATCTTCATTGAATAGTGGTTAAGTCTACTAAGGCTGTTTGATTCTTAAGTGCTGGTAAACTTTTCTACTAGTGACTAAACACAGATGTTGGTATAACCAATAACAAAAAAGGCTTTTGCCAGTAGAGTTTGACTGCCTGACAGCGTGTAAATGTTTAGGTAACCATTCTTTGAGGCTTCAGTAGCAGTTCAACAGTGTCATACATGTTTCCAATAGATAGCTTTCCCTTCCAGCCCTGTAGAGATGGAGCTGATCTGAAACTCCACTTAGTCCTGTCTTGCCTAAACAAAATGCACTGATTCATATAAATTGTAGCAATATTAACCTTTAAACTGTTACTCCCGTTGCTCTTGCATCTGACATTACTTAAGCAAGATGACAGTATTTATCTGTCCACTTCAGTCTTTCAGAAATAAAAGGGATTTGTGTTACTTTTTTGTCCTCTACAACTTTGAAACTCAATTTTACCA